AAGTATTTCAACTAAATCAGAGTATTCTTTGTTGGTAGAAATGCGGTTAAGATATTTCCAAATAAAATTAAAATAGTGTTGAGAGAAAGGTTGTATAAGTTTATAAAAGTAAAAATAATTTTGAAAATTTATATTTAAAATATAAATAAACTAAAAGTATTTTAAACTAATTAATAAAGATTTTTTTTTTTTTTTAAAATATAAAAGATATTTATAAAGAGAGAGAAAGAAAAGAGAAAGAAAAGAAAAATTAAAATATATGATTAACAGAGTTTAATTCAATAGTCTTCTAAGGCACTTTCACAATACAATAGGTCTAAAAGGGTGTTTAAAACCTATTGTTCCTTTATGTGCTGACTAGGTTTAACTAACAAAGTAGTTTGCCCTTTTCAAAGATTTATTAGCAATAAAAACTTACAAATATCCTAGGATATAAGCAGAGAAAGAAGCACTAATAATCAGGCTGTTTTTAACTATATATGGCTTTAAACTCTAAATAATATAAAGAGAAGAATACTTTATATTATTTATAACAAAAAAGAGAATATTTATACTAAAAAAAAATCAATAATAATTTATAAAAAAAAAATAAAAAAAATTAAAAAAATGTTGTTCTGTAAAAAAGATAAATAAAGAGCAAGAAGGTTTAAAGAAACTATTAATTGAAAATCACATGGGCTCTGCCTGCACAGGTTCAAGTCCTGTCATTATCGCCAAAACTGTAATATAGCAATACAGAGTCTTAATAAAGCTATACTACTTAACTTAACATGTAAGAGGATTAAGAAATATACTTGCAAACAAGAAAAGAATAAAATAAGAAAGAAAACTAAAAGAGACTTTAAAGTAAAACAATAAACCAAAAAAATAAAGAAAAGAAGTGATAGCTCTAATTCTAAAATATAATAAAATACTCAAGAAAAGAGAGAAGAGGCAATGGCTCAACTTAATATACCAAAAATAAATACTCAAAGAAGAAAGAAGAGGTGATGGCTTAACTTTAAATACACAATAAAAACACAATGAAAGTTTTATTAAACACAATAAAAAGAAGGTAGACAATGGCTACACTTCCAAAAAAATAAGTTGTAAATAACAAAGAATTAAAAGTGGGAAGGAGACAGTCTGCTCTGCCTTGGGAAAAAAGGCAGGGTTTTTATATCTTTTGGACTATTAGTAAATGACCCAGTTAATGATCTAGTTAACGATCCAGTTAACGTACCAGTTAATAACCCAGTTAATGATCCATTTAACAACCTAATTAATGACCCTTTTAATAGCCTAGTTAATGTATCAGTTAACATATCTGTTAATGTACCAGTTAACGTACCAGTTAACGTACCTGTTAATGTATCAGTTAACATACCTGTTAATGTATTAGTTAACATATCTAATATTATACTAAAATTAACATTATTTGTCAAAAATTTTACTATTAAACTAAAGCTAAAAAATAAACATATAATAAATATAAATTATATTAATAAAATATACTAATAAAATCTTCTAAATATACTAATAAAATCTACTAATATAACAATATAAAAAAACTAATCTACTGAAATTTTCTCTTTTGAGTTCTGCATAGCTAACTGTAGATATTAAATATCCTGGTTCTATTTTTGCAAGTGCTGCTCCATGGTCACTGCTAGTAAAGATGTCCATATCTTGAATATCCGCTTCATATAGTCTACTGATTAGATCATCCGTTATTCAAATTTGATTGATTCTTGTACTCTGTTCTCTATTTGTTCAGAAAAACTTCTTGCATCTTGGGTTTATTAGTCTAAAAGAGTCTTCAAAATCTTGCTTTTGCAACTATTTAATGAATGTATCAACCTTAAATGGCTCATATTTATTGCTATGCAATTTGGCTTGATAAAGATCTAAAATACAATTAAAATTACCCATAACTATTATTTGGGCTTTCTTAGATCGATTAATATATCTTTCTAAGATCTCTCGAGGCAAATAGACCATTATTACAATTACATTAAGCTGCTTAAATATAAAGCTAGCTATTATTAAGTATTTGTTTCTTCTTTCAATTTGCCCCAAATGCTTTTTCCATTGATTGCTTATAAGTAGACCTACTTCTAAGCCTTTTTTCTTATTTGGGTTTATATTTGACCAGAAGCTTCTAAAATTCTTAAACTTCAATATTGCAAAAATATTTTCTTTGTTAGAGATATTTGTTTCTGCTATCTCTAGAATATCTATATTGTTATCTGCTATCCATTTATATAGTGCTTCTAGTTTTTGTCTGTTGTTTTATAATTTATTTATATTATGGCAAGCAATCCTCAATTCTACTTAACTATCTTTATTTCTGAAGATTATTTTTGGTTCTTTAGAATTGTCTTTATCATTTTCTATTTAATTATATTTAGCTTTACTCTTTCCATTATTAGTTATTTGAGGTATTTTGAATAAGGTTTAAACTTGCTATATTGTTTAATAATGGAAAGAGGGTTACCTCTACTGTTGTTTTCTTTAAATCAACTAAGGCAACTTTTAGAAGCAATTAGCAAATATAGCCTGCTATTTGCTCAGTTAATCAAGTTTGTTAAGAATTTTTTGTAGTATACTTTGATATTGGTCAATTCTGCTTGCTAAGTCTAATTTTTTCTCTTCTTTCTCTTCTGTCTGTGGGTTACAGCTTTTGATAAATTTTTTTTCTAGTTTTTTGTTAATCCAAGAGCATTTTTTTGTTTGCTTTTCCTCTTCACTTTTCTTTTTTCCTTTAATTAGGATTTGTTTTCCTTTGTCTTTTCTTTGTTCTTCTTTTTTCTTGTATAAAGTTTCTTCATTATAGGACTTCTCTTCTACCTTTCTTGTTACAACTTCTGCATAGGTTGGTTTTTTCTCTTTTCTTTTCTTATGATCCATCTAAGTAAGCTTCTTGTTGTAGTAGTATATTTGTCTTTTCTGTGCTTTTAAGCAATTTTCTTCATTATTAAAGTATACAAGTGTAATACTCCTTCTATTTCTATTGCTATTACTTGGAATATATACTGCCTTGGCTTTGCTTAGTTTAAGTTGTCTAAGTAAAGAGAACTCAAGAGTATTATACGGAAGATCTTGTAGTCTTGCTGTATACTTCCTTCTATTAATAAGTTCAGCTTTATCAAAGTATCCTGGAGTTATTCTGTACATATTTCTTTTTTCAAAATAAACCATTCAACTTTCTTGTAATGTTTTAAATCTTTCTTAATTCTAGCATATAACTTGTATATAGGCTGCTTTTGACTTCTTCACTTCTTGTTGATCTTCTTTCCATTTTAAAATTTTTGCTTTGCTATAAAAACTAAGACATCTTATTACTCTGTTAGACCAAGTGTCTTTTGGTAAGTCCCATAAGGTTAACTTATGTTCAGGTTTTGAAATTTTGGTCTCTTCTGTTTTAGTAGAGCTTTGAGACACTTCTTTCTCTATAGGTTCTCCTTCAATCTATTTTTTGAAGCCCAGATAAAGTTATTGATATCTTTAGGAACCTATCTGGACCTGTATATATTTTTATAAGTGATGTTATCTTTTTTCTTCTTTTCTTTTTAGGAGGGACTACAACTATCCTTTTACTATGTTTTAATAATACTAGGTTTTTAGTTTCTTTTGTTTCTTGATCATATGATCTACATTTTGTATATAGTAGAATTATTATCTTCTACCTTTTCATCATCAGAACTTTCGAGAATTTCTTTCTCTGATTCATTTAATATTGCTTCTGCAACTTTGTCTGAATAACTATCTTGATGTTTAAGCTTCAGACTAGTAATCTAAGTTGATATTTATAAAATCGATTTAAGTCGATTAGTCGACTTAACCAAACCGATTTTTACAAAGTCGACTAGCTGATTATTTTATAAATTGCTGTTTTCACTTTACTATTTTTTCTTTTGTACATCATTTCTTGATTAAATATATTTATATTACTTATTCATCGTAGCATATTAAAATAACTTGCATTTGATTTCCAGAAATTATAACTTTATTAATAAATTCAAACAAGCCTTATTTAAAAAATCGCATAAATTATTGCTAAATTTGCTCTTTATGTGTTAATATTATCTATATTTAAATTACAAAACTTTGACCTGAGTATTACGATTCTTAATACTAATAAATTTCGAATTCAATATTCAAACATATTTTTTTCAAACCAAACTATTTTTCTAATAATTAATAATAATGACAACACCGATCTCAGTCACCAATAACCAAATGCACACAGTCATAATATTCTGAATTAAAATTCCATTACATAATTATTAATGTTGATGAATGACATTATCATACTTGAAGTTGCAATTGCAAACATTTGGAGTTATATTGATTGAAATTAGCCCCAAAATTAGATCTTTTTTTTTAAATAGATATATTTTCAGGTGTCTGAAATTGTAACTTCAAGCAAATACTAACTTCAGCAGATGCTAACTTCAAACAAATGCAAACTTCATTAAGCAGATGCAAACTTCAAACACAATAGTATAATTAATCAAATACAATATGAGTGCTTAAGAGTGAAAACCTGTAACTGATCATAATAAAGTTACAGATTTTTACTCTCATTCATATTACACTCACATAATCCTATAATTCTGAATAATGCATGCTAATCTAAAAAAGTAAAGTCATTAAAAGGCTATAGCCACAAATTAAATAAAAAAAGCGGGAAGTAATAAGACAAAAAAGGTGTGCATTAGATGGGCTATGTTGATATGCGAGATGTATGTATATAGAATCTTAGAAATGGCTTCAAATTCCTAAGAGAAAAAGAGAAAAGAAGAATTAATTATTTTAAATAATAAATAAAAATTTTAGATAGAAAAATACTATTGCAAAGCTCTAATTAACAATAAATTAGCTATTGTTGAAAGATTAGATTAATTGAAATAAAAAGCAATTGTTAAGAGATTAAATCAAATGCGATAATTTTTTTTTTTGTATCTAAAAACGGTATAAAAGAAGAGGTTTTTTTATTAACAATATTTATAATTATAATGGATCAAGATGATTATCCTACATTTCAAAATAGATCAGAAAATATTTCTGACAATATATTAAATTGCAATTCTATCTCTATTATACCTTTTGAATCATCATTTCCACATCAACTTGAATGCTTTACAACTACTAATCTTGAATATTCTAATTCGTCAATATATGCTTCTGACCCTATTTCTGTAATGCCTCCTGAGTTGTCATCATTACATAATCTTGAATGCTTTACTTTGTCTTCTAGTATTGAATATTCCGATCCACTATTACATACTTCTGAATACTCTACCTCTTCATATTATTCTGATCGATCTATTTTGTTATTAGATAATCCTGAAAATTTTACTTTACAATTGGATGATTTAAATAATTCTGATTCTTTTAACACTCATACTTTACAAAATACAAAAAAACATGCATCAGTTTTTGTTACATCATCTACCAAAAAACCAAAACCAAGAAAAAGTTAGGTGTGGGATCATATGAGAAAAGATAAAAATATAAAAAAAGAAACAAAATGTTTAGTTTCAGTTGAACGAAATGAAAAAATAGTGCCATGTGGAGAATCATTTGCACTTAGTACTAGTACAAGTACACTTGGAGCCCATATACATACGATACATCATTTATTAGAAAAAGGATCGTTATTACTATTATTAGGAACATCTGAATGACCAACTTCTAAGAAACCTGTTGCTATAGCTCAAAAAGATCCTACACAACCCATGTTAATAGACATATTAAATAAACAACCATCATTATCTTCTAACAAAAAAGATAAATTAACCTCCAGAATTCTAGCATGGATTATTGATGACATGTATACATTTAATGTTTTAGAAATAAAAAATTTCATGACTTTATGTATAAAGCTGAATCTTGCTATCAAATTCCTTGTCAAGATATATTTAAAAAAAAAATACATGAAGCAATAAGCTTTGCAGAAAATAAAATACTTGACTTTTTTCAACAAACGATGGATACATTTTCATTCACAACTGATCTCTAGACAAGCGCACACAAACCATATATTGAAATTATGGCTCATTGGCTTGATCCTAATTTTCAGTTAAATCAAGTACTTATGATCATAGAAGAATTTCCTTATCTACATATCGGAGAACATATTGAAGACTGTTTGAGACGTGAGTTTGCTAAGTGGAAGATTTCAGAAAGATGTATTGCTGCGACAACTAATAATGCATCATCCATGGTTAAAGCAATAACTAACCTTGAAGTAATTCATATTTGTTGTACAGCACACACTCTTCAACTTTCTATTACTAATTCTTTACAATCTGGTGAAGTAACAAATTTAATTAGTAGAGCTAAAGAGTTGAATAGTTTTTTAGTACACAAAGATAAATATAGGGAAGCGTTGAGAAAAGCACAAGAAGATATTAATAAAAAAAATAATATTCATACTACAAGCCAAATGCAATTCCTAGAACCAATAGCCACTGTATCAGTTACACGTTAGAATTCGACTTTTGTGCTTCTAGAACGTTTATTATTACTATATGAATCTATACAATTACTTACCAAAAAGTTGGTTCAAGATGCTAATCGGGAAATCCGTAAAGATGGAAAAAAACTAAAATCCCTATTATTAAATAAAAATGAACTATTAGGCTTTAAGGAGCTCATTTATTTATTAGAACCTTTTGCTTGTGCAACATCTTTAATAGGAGGTGATATATACCCTACACTTTCCCTTATGCTTCTAACAATCGTGACCCTTCAAGAACACTTGTTTAAAATAGAATCAATACTGACTCATCCTATTGTTCGTGATGTTAGAAATGAAA